GAAATTGATTTTTTTTCGTTGTACCATGTTTCATTATTTATCAAGCAAGTTGATATTTTGTTACCGCTGAAGTAGATGCGAAGAATGTAGGAGGAAGCGTTTTGGCATAAAATAATTAAATTAATTGTGCGTGCGCACAGTGATGTTTCTGATCAGGTATTTTGAGGTCGTTAAACGCAAAGATTATCGAATAAAATCACTTGTTATATCTCTCGGTTAGAACGTGCGCTATGATTGGTTCATTTAGCGCGCCGCAGTTCACTCTTCGGCTCGCTAAATTCAAAAGTTTATTTTCAGCGCCAAAATGTCTTTTCAAGAAGAATTCTGCCGTTTGTCTTCCTCCAAAAGCTCTAAGGTAGGTCCAGCTCCCAAGCGATTACATGTCCTTTCTTCATCGCGTCAACAAACATCGACTCAATCTCAACCTGTCTTTAATCTTTTTGTTCTGTCTGCACCGAGTAATCTACCAGGCAACTTCCCTGGAAACGCCACAAAACACCAATAATCGGATGCTAATCGTTAGAAAGATCATTGTGCTGCTTTCGATCGCATTGATTAAATTTATTCATTCGTTTGACGTTGACATTGACATTGAACAAAGTAAGCCGTTAGTTCAAACTTTCTACGCAGAAACACGTTGTGCTTTGCTGATTTCTGGAATTTCAAAAACTCTCGAAAAAGAGTTACTTAAAACATGTTTTATCTCAATTTCTTGCAAAAAAAAACCTTCGTTTACGTCAACTGTTATTTTCGTGCAATTTTGCATTATTATATTAACTATGGGTACTAAACGAACATTTTGAACTTTTGACGCCTCAAAGTTCAGTTTTTGACTTTTGATGTAAATAAACCCCGAAAGTTCAGACATTGGCTCAAATATCCACGACCCAAATTTTGGCTTGGATATTTTGTTGTAGATAATTTCCACTGTAGTCAAGCTTTTCTTTGTTCGAAATTGAGTTTTTTCGTTGTATTATATGTTTTATTATTTGGCAAGCAAGTTGATATTTCGCTACCGCTAAAGCGGACGCGAAGAATGTAGCAGGAAACGCTTTGGCGTGGAATAATCAAACTAGTTGTGTGTGCATACGGCGATGTATCTGATCAGGTATTTTCAGGGCGTTAAGCTCTGAGATTATCAAATAAAACCCCTCGTTACATCTCTCAAGTAGAACGTGGGTTATGATTAGTCCATTTAGCGCGCCGTATTTATTTTGTTTTGATCGCCAAAATATCTCTTCAAGAAAAATTCGAACAGACTTAAGGAAAAGTAGACTAACGAGGAAAACGAGTAAAACTCAGAAGCAGATATCCCAAACTTTCGAGTCGGATTCTTCGAGTTTTTGAGTAGGACAAGCAAAACAACTCTCGACAACATTGTCACTTACATAACAGTCTTATCTCACTGTCTTACAGAAAACCTTAGCATACTTAAACTTTTGCTTTCGTGTAATTTTACATTATTCTAAACTATGGGTATTAAACGAATATTTTGAACTTTTCACGCCTCAAAGTTCAGTTTTTATTGGAGGCCAATGAAATGTTCGCGTGCTTAGGATTTGATGCGCGTTAATCATCGATGGCCGTTCCGCTTGAATTAAAATCTTTTTCCCTCCAATTTGAATCAAGAGATATCATAAATATCTTACTAACCTTGTTTTTCTCGGTC